TGGGAAATACAGCATGTGGCTCCTGACAGCACATGTAGAAGTGGAAGTTAATGTCTGAAGTCGAAGCAAAGCATCATAGAGAGACAAGAGACAGCATGCAGAAAAATCCCAAGTAATTTTGGAATTTTCAGTACTATTTTTAATAAATTTCAAACTGGAGGTGTTACCACAGACTTAAAGAATAAGGAGTGTAGCACTCACATTAAAGTGTGATTAGTGGGGTTAAGAAAGCTATAGATGGACTTCTCTGACTTCCAGCAACATACAGGGAGAGAACTGGATGTATCTGGCAAATGAGAGAAAAGGCAATATTGATTTAACAAAGTAGACAGGTATCAAATTAGCCTAAATAATTTTCAAGAAGACCTGATCATCAGTTATCACACCACATGATATCCTTTAAATGGGGAAAAAAGGGAATAGTAGTTGAAACTGAGCTATTTCCCCATGTAGCACTATATGAAATCCTTCCAAAGTGAAGAGGATCTGGTTTAACTTGGAAACCATGGTGGACAAAAGCACAGGCTAGGAATGAAGCAGTGCCTTATACTCCAGGGATACTTGCCAAACCAGAGAACAGGGAGGTGTAAAAAAGATAGGGGGAGTGGGGGGACCATCAGCATTAAAGGACTAACTTGAAGAGTGAGAGAGTTACAGTGGTAATAACTGAGATGAAAACTAGCATAATAACCATAAGATTGAATGTTTAAATGTTGTTTAACGTCTTCTGTAAAGCTATGGCTCAAGTTAGAGATACATTCCACTTCATGCTTTAGCAGTCAAGTTTTTTTCTGGTATAGGGAAGCATTGGTAGTGCTGGTCAGACCTTGCCTGGAGTGCTGCCACAGTTCTGGTCACTTAAGTTAACGATGAATTGATGCTGGAACAACTGCAAAGGGAGGACTCTTGAGAATGCTGTCTGTATTCTGTATCTTGGAAAAACAGCTTGGTGTGAATGCTGAAGACATAACAAAGACTGAACAAGGAGGTGCTTTAGAGCAATTATATCAAGGCCAGTGGCAACCTGACTGAGCTTAAGTTAACAGAAATGTTGGTACAAGAAAAATGGAGGACAGCAGGACCTTCTTAATAAATAGAAGTTATTCAGTGATTTCTATGAGGACATAGTGCAAAATGCACAAGTACTTAACTGTGTGAAAGTTCAGGTCTCTCTGTTCCTCAAGCAACTAAGAAAAAATGGGATTATGTTAGCATTTAACTTCTATTAGGCTTTGTTCCCATTTTAGTGCCAAGTAATGCTCACTTTTGCATTGATCCAAAATACAACACGCTTTCAGCAAATTAATAATGAAAAAGTCACAAGAATGGTTTTGAAGGGGGGAAAAAAATACTGCATGCCACACTGCTACTCTCAAGGTCTGCTTCTCAGACATACTAGTCTGTCAGTGCAACTTGTGAAGTAGGAGATCATCTGAAAGTGTTGCCTGCTCTTAAAACTGGACAGAAGGAAGTCAGCACTGCTGCCTTTTCAGCACCCCTCCTACCTGAAGTGGGGTTTCCTCTCTGGGCTCTCAACTTTGCCTTTTTTTTTTTTTTTCCCTTGCAGACATCTCTTCTCATATATTACAAAAGACAAACAGACAGAGAGCTTGGTGGAGAAACTTTGTCAGCGATTCCGGACTGCCAGGTTGGGTTGTAATCTTAATTTTCCTGACAAGCACTTTTGCTTCTTAGGAATTGTTAGAGGAAACAAGCTTGTATGTGATAATTGTAACAGGTTCCCATCATAATCTTCACGTAGCAAAGTGACAAATGCTGACATAACCTAGATTAGGTCCTGGGGTTTTTTTTTAACTACCTTCCTCCTAAAAATACACGAATAAATATGTATAAATTAAGGCAGTGATTGGCCCCTCTTCCCTCCTTTCTTAAGGAAAAAGTTTTGTGACAGTTTAGATCTGCATTACAGCTGAGCAAGGGGACATCCCACGTGCGGGTTTTATGTATCTTTGTGGTCCTTCTCCACAGGCTATTCCCTTGTAGCTCAGATAGGAAATCAGTGTGTTCAACTAAGCTGGGATCTCCCCAGCAGTTCTGTCTGGGGTCATCTCAACTATGACAGTTGATAAAGGCCTGCCCTTGTTCTATGTGCATGGGCTGCTCAGTACTAATTCTATGCCTGGGACTCTGTTTTGAGTGGTTTTTTTAATTATGTTATTCAAGGGCTTCACTTAGGCTTTTGCTCTGCTCTGTCTGGAAGACATATATGCATTGCTCCTTGTGCTGATTACAGAGTATATAGTGCAGGGCCTACCCCATGAATCTGGGATATCATTTTGCTTTGTAGGTTTTAGAGTTTTTTGCTTCTTTTGGCTGTTCCCCAAGCTGTAACCCAGGTGTACACTTTTCTTTTTTTTTTTTTTTTCCCCCAAGAAGAAAGGTAACAAATTTATCTGCTTCCATGTCATGTACTTCCAATGATATCTTCATTTTAACTTCCACTGGCTTTGGTGCACCCTGCCTTCCTCCATTCCTGTGGTTTTCCTTCCCCATTGCTGTGGCTTTGCCCTTGAGATTTAAGCTGTGTCTGCTTATCTTGGCCATTTGTATACAGTGCCTGGGCATGTGACCTGCTCAGCTGCCTCAGGGAGTTGCATATTTCCCAAAAGATTTGGATTTTGTTTCCTGAGTTGGAGTGGAGAGTGGTCCCTCTCTCCCAGGTTGCCTCCCAGGAATACTGGTGAGCTCTTCACACAACATTGTAAATAACTATCTTTGTGTAAGTTATGTCTAGCCTTTAGTAAAATGTCCTGATATTTCTGTACCGCAAAGATGATCAGCCTGATGAACACTAGTGGTAATGCCAAAGCAAGGCTCTCTCTCCATGTTAAAACAGGACCTTATCAGAGAAGATTTTGCAGCTACTATCACCCTCCTCAGCATTTCTGGCGTTCCAAATGTAGCAACTTGCCAAGTATCATTCAGACTTTAAAGATGTAAATACCTGGATGCTGCAGCTTTGTTCTCATCTGTTTAGGTTTTAGCAGAGCATTCTTACAGAGCAGATGCAGGACAGACTTCAGGCCCTCTGCTTAGTATATATTAATAATAGGGGCTTTGGCCTCAGTTTTTTTCCCCCCCATTCCATCACAGTGAGCTACATTAATAGTTTGTGCATTTATTTTTCTTTCCCTTTGTTTTTTTTCCTATAACTTTTGCTGGAATTTGAATGTAGTCCTTCTTTGATACAGCAGTTGTTATTTGTTGACTTTATAACTTAATGAATATGACCTTCTTTATGTCCCTTTCTGGCCAGCAAAGAGAGAGAGAGAGAACATCAAATACAGCTTCTGCTTGAGATCATCTCAAACATGCAAAAATGAGCAGCCAGGGTTTTTTTATTATTCAGTTGAAATAAGGCCCTTCAAGAGGAGTCCTGACCTCACTGAGTCATCTTTTCTTCCTGGTCAGCAATAACTTCTGATACTTTTTAAACAAGTGACTGTGTTCTTCAGCAGTGGAGCCTTCGTGTTTTTCTGACAGACACTAAATCAGTGTCTTTGGCATACAGTGGTGGTTGTGTGTGGTATGGCACAGCACCCTGTCACTGACCTGTAACAGAACAACCTGAATCTCATGTTCTGCAAGGCAGAAGCACCTGCAGGAAACGCTGTAGCTCTAGGTGAGATGTGCTCACCCTCACACACCCCTTTTTGTAAGAGCTAATGGCAATCTTTGTCTTTCTCAGAACGGAGCGTCAATACCGGGATCTGTCCCACTGCCTTACTCTGCTTCCAGTCTCAGAACGGGGCCTTCACAAGCTGCAGGACAACTTTGACTGCTTTGCAGATAAGCTCCAAGATCCAGCTGTCTACAGTTGTTTCCAAACTGTGCTGGCTCGATTCCGCAGAGCAGGTGTCAAACCTGAGGCTAAAGTAAGGATATGGGACAAGTGTCCAGGCCAGAAAAGCGATTGCTTTTTACATATATTGATTGGAAAACCCTGCAGCTTTCCATTTTAAACAGACTACTACTCACCCCTAGCAATTTATCAATTTATTTATTTAACTTGACGGCAATTCTGGTATGGATGTAATACTTATCTCCCCTCACCTTCTCTTTTTCCCCCCCGCACTGTTTTACATCTCCATCAGGCTCTAGCTGAAGAGCTGGAGCAGAAGCTGTCTGCCTCCCGTAACCGAGGGCTGGATTCAACAGAGATGTGCCAGGAAGGCAGTCAAATTCCAGTGTCAGTACCAGCCAAGCAGAAAACAATAAGAAGTATGTTCCTTTTGTGAGGCTGCAGTCTTCCCCGTGATCCTGCAGTCCAGCAGAGACACCTAGGGATTTTTCCTTACCCTTCCAGAGAGAATGGCTGCTACCTTTCTCTTTTTTTTTTTCCCCTTTTTCTTGACAGGTTCATGCCACCAGCCCCTGAGCCCAGTCAACAGGGATGATGAAGATTTTGTCACACCCCAGCCTTGCACCCTCCGAAACCAGAAGCGTGCCCAAAAGCGCCGTCCACGCAAAAAAGCTGTGATCACCTTCTCCAGTGATGAGGAGAACAGCTCTGAGGATGGTAAGGCATCCTGCATGTGCCCTTGAAAGGTGAAAGGGGAGAAGGACTAGAGATTTGGCCCAACAGGGATGTTCCTTTGGTAGTGGGCTTCAGAGCACTGTGGAGGTTGCCTGGAGATTTCTCTGTTCAAGGCAGTGGAGTGCTGGTTATTGACACATTTTACTCTCTTTAGAGCTATCGGCAGAATTAAGAGAGGAAGAAACCCCCACCAAAACAACTCCCATCACCAGATCTTCAGCCCGCCGGCTGCGCTGAGGGAACCATCTGCCACTGTCTTTAACTAAAAATAAAATTCATCCTTTGCAGCAGTCGTCTTCTCTTGTCTGAACTACCCCATAATATGACAGTGCTTTAAATGAAGACAAAATGGAAGTTAAGATCAGGCTAAAGCAATTCTAATCCTGCCTTTTGGTATCTCCACAAAGAAAGGCAGTGCTGAACATAGCTGCCACTTTGACCGATTTTGCCCTGGCTTTGCAGATGAAAGTAAGCTGCTTTTATTAAAAAAAAAAAAATAAATCTTTGAAAGAAACTCTTTCTAAGAAGAGCCAAACTACTTCTCATTCTTTTCTCATTTTGTACATGCTTATAATAAATTATTCAGCCTCTTTCAACACAGGACCAATACGGTTTTGCTGGGTTTAGGCGTTTTTATGTTTGATCCTTTTAGAAGCTCTTGCCCTATAAAGCTCACCAGGGCTCTGAGGGGAAGTTACCTGCATCTTTTTCTTGTACAGATCTCATCAAAGAAGAGTTGAGGGATTGGGGGCTGTGGAGAAAGAGAGAGAGAGAGACAGGTTAACTTAGACTAGAGTGCTTCTAAAGACTTCAATAAATCTTTTAAAAGTTTTAAAAAACAAAAACAACCCAACACTAAAAACTTAAACTTTTAATAACTCTGATTTGATCAAGTCACTAAGTATACTGATAGCATTGGTTGTTTCACTGTGCTTTTTGGAATGTATTTGCTGCAAATCCAATTATGTTTCAAATAAGACTGGCACTTACACTCTTTCTTCCAGGAATGCCACATCAGTGTTCAAGTCAGTCCTGGCACTCCTTGAACTGCCCTGTGAACATGAAGTGCCCTAAATTAGATTTTGTGTTAATCACATAAATAACCTTTAACCTCCTGTCTCAGAGGCAAGCTGGCATTTGTCCCAGAGCTATTACTACCGAATTATTTCCTCTTACCTGTCAGCTGCCTCGAAAGCAGACTAGTCACTAGCTGGGCAGGGACAGGAAGGGTCCTCCTCCTCTCTGCAGGTTCCTGCAGATCTTCTGCAGTCTCTGTCTCTGAGGATCTACCACGTTCCCGCAGTCATTGGGGTTACCCTTAGTTCACCCAGGAAGTAGAGCATGCTGCTCAGTTCCCCTCTGGCCTGGCTGCATAACTAGCAATAAAAGATTGCTGTAGCTTAATTTGATCCCCACTTAAAAAAAAAAGAAAAGTCATTAGTAATTGCATAGCTTTGCACTGACCTAGGCCTATGGTTTTTCATGCCAATACCTGAACGGACATAAACATGTTAAATAGGTGTAGAAACAAGTAGAATGGGGGGAATGACGGGGTGACAGGTGTATCTACTGGAGTGGGCCATGTGGACCAAACACCACACTTGAGTCCCATGGCACAGTGAGAATACCTGCACACTTGCCACCACTGGCGTAAGAGCCAGACACCAGTACAGATACACTCCAACTCCAGAGCACACCAGTAGCAACAGGACAATCACGGTGAAATACAAAGATCAGAAAGCTACAGCAATATTGCCCCTCTCTCCCTTCCTCCATGATAAAATATTCAGTGAAGGCTACAGGAGACAGAGGCAGCAGCAGTAAATATGACACAGTCATGCACACGGTACGTGATTTCCCCACCACCCACGGGGTTTGTCACTCACATATGGGAATGAAAAAAGAAAAGGGCAGCATGTATCGGTGTCTGCTCAGGCTCAAGGTTTTACAAGCCTGTGCAATATGTGAGATAATATGTTGACAATACTGCAGTAGGGGAAATATGAATGGGTGGATAGGGGAAGCAAGGTGGCCATAAAACTCTTAATGCACTGGCTCACCTTCAGGCCATGCTTTATCAGTACAAGGGGTTAAACTTCTTTGAGAGAGCCAGAGGAGGGTTTGGCAATCACTGAATAAGTGACATGGTGGCTCCATCACTGCTTTGCACCCTGTCTTTTGCTCTGTCCTGACACTGTGCTGCCTGGACAAATGAGAGTGGAAAGTCAGTGAGTGAGAGCTCCAGTTGGTCCCTTCCTGCAATTTCTTCAGGTGGAGCATCCCCCTCTCCTCACTGTCATCTCCTGACATTGGAAAAATTAGCAGTCCTGTGTCATGGATCAAGAAGTCCTGCAGAAAGATGAGGCAAAACCCAAGAGGGGTTTGGACAGCTACACAGTGGCTACTGCTTAAGGTAGATGGTTGCTGCCCTTCTGTTCCTCACAAGCAGCTATTTTGGTGGCTGCCAAAATGACCAGGAATTGCTACTGAAGTACTAATGTCACTCCCTTGCTTCTGAGGCAGTGGGATTACTCACTGCCAAGATCAGTGGTGTTTCCATTCTCTGAGGGCCTCCTGACCATGGCTGCTCTGAACTCCTTCCTACAAATGATACCAGTGGAATAATGTGAATATCGCTCTTGCTTCTAGAGCCTGCAGCAACCATTATCCCTTTCCATCACCATAGGCCAAGGGGCGTTCCCTCAGGGTACTTCACTCAGGTCCCAGTCCTCCCACTCTCCACTTGCCCTGCTCCTTTCCTATATAAGCAACTGTTTGTAAAACACTGATTGTGATTTAACAGGAGACCACTTTTCTGGTGGTCTTGCAAGCTCTCAAATCAGTGCCCTAGCATCAGAGGGGGAAGGGTTTTTATAGAGGAAACTTGTTAGCATCAGAGAGGAAAGAAGGACAATAACCTATTTGAGTCTGAGAAAACTGGGGCAACTGGGGACTCGTCTGCCAAAGCCTTTTCACTTCACAGTCACTGCCAGGACATGTCAGAGCAACTATTCAGTGCTACTGCAGTCCCAGCAAGGATCTGGGACGCAGAGCAGCTGCAACATCATGGCACCTGAGCAATTGAGCACCATTTTATCCAGGTTTTGCTGGATTTGCAAGAATTTACAAGAATCTGCAAGAAAATTTGCAAATTTTCTGCAGTCTCTGAAGTTTCTTGTTTGGTAGGAGACAGTGATGGCTCCTTCCCCCTTGCCAGCACCAGCTTTTGCTGGACCTAAGGAGGGGACTTGTCACTTGAGACCTCTGAGCCTGTCCACCCCTGCAGGGCTCAGTCTTTGTGCAAGTGGACTGGAATTTTGGAGCAGTTGTAAACACATTTCTGGCATTCTTGCAGTACGGGGGCCACCACATTCAGAGGATGCCAGGTCATGCTGCTGCTACATTTTGGATCAAAAACAAAGTGTTGTTGCTTTGGTACTTACCTTTCACTCAGGAAAGACCTGACTCCTGCAACTGGTGCGTTCAACCCGAGATGCACCTGCCTGCAGCTCTCTTGCTGGCAGCATGAGTGCTCTGGCAGGCTGACTCAGCTCCTTCTGGACGGTCAGATGTGACTGGGAAGTACAGAACACCATCCTCTGGGACATCTTGCATGTGGAATGAACACGTGCTCACTTCCTGTCCTCCTTCCTTTCTTTTCCACCCCTCTGAATCTTTCACACCACAATACTCCATACCCTACTGCACCCAGCACATGGCACATGGCTGTACACACATCCCACACTCTGTTTGTGCCCAGGCACCCCGTCTGAATGCCCACATGGACAGCACATCCCATGACTCTCCAGCAGTCACCTGTGCTTTGTAGATTAAAAGGCTGGCATGAAGGTAAAAGGCTGGTATGAATAATCCTGTTCCCCACGAAAGATCTCGGTGAAGGACATTAGCAGGGACCTAGGGAGCCCCTCCAAGTGCTGGGCCAGGCGAGGGGGTGACAGGGGACAGGATCACCAGAGCAGTGCATTGCTCTGGAACCAACACCAGACATGGGTCACGGATATCAGCTGGAGCTAACAAAATTGGATGTCCCCACCTGTGCAAAGTGTCTCCTTCCAGCATCAATGCTCCAGAGTGATGCCCCCTACTCACTTCTCATGGACTGGTTGCAAAACAGTTCATAAAACTTTCTAGCTCCTTGGGCAGCAAAGAAAGGGACCCACAAATCAGCATCTGCAAGTGCAGAAGGAAGGAACGGAGGGAGGGAGGGAGGAAGAGCAAATATCTGAACTGTGACTTTTGTTATCTCTGCAAAAGACTTTTTTTTTCTACTTTTCTTCTTTCCTTGAAAAAAAAAGACCTTTTTTTTCTAATTTTCTTCTTTTCTTGTAAAAAATAAACAAAAGCAGGCAGCAGAACACTTCCTGTCAAGTTTTGACCCAACTGCTTTGTGCAACAGTACTAAAGAAAGGGAAGTTTAAGGCGGTGTTAAACTCATCCAGTACAGCCATTACTAATCCGGTACTGGGGTACAGTCCCCCCATTCCTCTCCCCTGACAAACCTTCCTGATTAGTTTCTGTCTTCACACCCAGGCTGACTTCTGCACCCTAATCTCCAAACAGTGACCTCATTGCCTTGTTCAACTGGTGAGAAACTACAGTAAAATGGGAGAGGTAAACAAAGGGGGGGAACTAATGGCCAGAAGATTTAGGAGGTAGGAATCTGCTCCTTGCCGTCCTGCTTCCATTGTGTGCCTGAGCTTGAGAAAGTGCAAGCTGAGCCTCGACAAGGTCTTTTCTGTGACGGTTCCTCTGGAAACTCACTCCAGTCCTCCAGATGGTGACTTGGGACAACCAGCCTGCATATCATATACCCACTAGTACTAGACCCAGGGTTCTAGTCACTGCTTGTCACTGCTACAAATTCCATATAGTACCGGAATTCACCCACCTTCTGCAGCAGGAGCTCTTCATTCCCAGGCCAACCGTCTCACCAAAATATAAATACTAAAACCAAATGCCTGTATTGTCACAGAGCTAAATCTGTGTCTGCTCTGTGCAGCCAGCAGCATGCCCACCGCTAGCTGAGCTGTAGTTCATGCTCATGCTGACTAGAGAAACAGCAGTAACAGCACTCTGCCTACAAGGAGTATGTTCAATACCATTACACAATGCAGCCTTCAATATCCTCCTTTGGTACATGTTTCAAAGTGTCACCCCGTTCCTGACCCTGACAGATACCTCCAGGTCCTGGGCACCAGCAGCTCAACTCACATTGAGTGAGTTGAGTTGAAGACATTAGTCTTTCCAGACACTCAGTAAACACCTTTGTGTCCTTTTTCTTTAGAGGAAGGGGTCTTGCTGAGCTCACCCTGAAATATATCACCCTGGACAAAAGGGCTGAAAGGTTAAGGAGCTCCGGGGGGTGGATCAGCAGGGAGCTGGGGGCCAGGCGCCGGCCAGAACCAAAGCTATAAAGGCAGAGAGGGGCAAGGGACTGCATTCGACACGGATGCTGCATGTCCTGCCTCACCTCCCACAAGCCCTGGGATAAGAAGAAGATGCTGGGGCTCCAGTCATGGCCTTGCTCGTTTTTCCTCCTCTTGGTTCTGCTCTCTGCCAGCGTTCAGACTGTGTCCTTACCAGGACAGAGGCTACAGGTAGGAGGGACTGGGACAGAGCTGAGGGAGGTTTCAGAAGTGAAGTGACAATTTGGGGAAGTTGTGTTTGAACCTCAAATGAGTGGTGGTCCCAAATTTCAACTACTGGAGGCTGCTGTCTATTCTCACTGCTCCCTCCCCTTCAGTCCAGCAGCCTCAGCTCTAGGGTGACTTTATAACCCAGCTCCTAAAGAGCATCAGCATTTCAAGACGGGAAACACACAAAAGCTTTTTAGTGCTCTGCAGAGGATTTTAACGGTAAAGAGCCTGCCCCGTCTAACCCTGCTCTGTGTCAGCAACGACCAGAAATCACAGGTGTATCTCTCATCATGTTCAGTGCCTGGTTCTGATGTTTCAGGGGGAAGATGTATCCAGTTTGGCCAGGATTTTTGCTCCTAAGCTCAGTACTGCCTCTCAGTAGACACTCTCTAAGGCCAAGAGCCACAGTCAGGATGCCAGCTAAAGGCTTCTTCACTTGAGTAAATCTTTTATTCTCAGTAGTTTCAGCAATAATATTTTTGGCTTTCAAATCTACCCAGCTCCCTCTTACCCAAACCCTAACCTGAGTCCCAACACCTCGCCTTCACATAACCCTGGGAAAGCTCCAGGGAAGTAGTCAGGACGTGAACTAAAATCACAAGACTGATCCTAGTATGACTCACCACTTTCATTCCTCGCTGAAGATGCCCGTGTCCGCTTCAGTTAACTCACTACCGCAAGGAGCTGCACAAAGGCATCTTCAGCCTTAGCTCAGCATCCATGTGAGAGACAGATGTGGAACGGTTACCATAGGCTGCTTCCTAGGGCAGCCAAGCCATGCCTCTACTGCGCCCAATGCACCCCTCAACCCCTGTCTGCAGGCTTCCAGCAGTGCTGGGGGTGTATAATCAGCAAAAGATGATCTAGAGGATTCCCGGCAGATGGGGAGTCCCCCTTCCTCACACCTGCTGTGCTCTTGCCTCTCCCTCTTACCAGCAATTTGAGACAGGTCCATCCTTCCCACCAGCCTTCTGGAAAAAATGAAATGCCACACAGCAGCCTGAACACGCAGAGGTGCTCAGCATCCACAAGAGGAGCAAGGACTGAAGCTTGTTACCTTCCAAATCCAGGACTGGGAGGGAGATGCATGGCTTGACAAGAGCAGAGCAATCTGCATGCAGGCAGAGGCTCACAGCAGGTGCCTGCCTGCTGTTTTCAACAGCAAAGTCATTTCAGACAGCAAGAGCTGGTGATCTAGCCCTTCCCTCTGTCTGGATGCAATGTCACAGGCACAGTGCTGTGTGCAGGCATCACTTTAGGTTCTGCCTGACCCCTAAGGAGGGTGCGGGCAGTGGAGTACAAGGGGGTACAAAGCTTATAGCCAGGAGCAAAGGCATCTCTGCTCTCACCCCTCTCTTCCTTCTGTTTATCCCAGATGCTCCTTTCACGGTTGCTGCCCCTGGAGCCTGAGTCCGCACTGGCCGAAGAGGACACAAAGGAGGGGTCCAGCTTTGGTCCTCAGTTGGTCTCCTCCACCCTCCCCTTCCTCCCATCTGGGGCTAGAGCTGCCCGTTCTTCTCTCTGGCGCAAGACCCTTGCCAGTCGCAAGTGGGCACTGCCTGGAGATTGGGCCTGGAAGGCCATGCCCAGAGGCTGCTTTGGGCTGAAACTGGACCGCATCGGGACCTTCAGTGGTTTGGGGTGTTAGATTTGGAGGGGCTCTGAGGTGAGAGGGCCAGCAGTGAGGGGGCTCGAACAAGCGGGCAGGGACAAAGTTAAGGGGAGACTTGAACGCACAGACAGCGAGCAGATGGGGCCAGGGCCGGGAGCAGGGACCCCCCGCGCTGCCGGGGCTGTGCTGGGGCCCGGCCGGGGCGGGAGCAGGCGGGCGGGACGCCGCTGGGCGGCTCACCAGCCCCGCTTCTCCACAGCCGGGGGCACCTACGCTCGGGGACCAGCACGCCGTGGGGAACCAGCGCGGCTCGGGAACCGGCACGACGTACCGCTGGACGAAGCCCCGAAGCTCCCGCCCCGAAGGAGCGCGGCGGCGGCTGCAGGCAAGCGGCGCGGCGGTACCGGGAGGAGCTGCCCAGCTCCGCAGCTGCTCCCCTCGGCCGCTGGAGACCCGGCTACGCCGGCAGCCCTCTCCCCTCCTCCCCGCGCCTGAGGACTCGCTGATTAAACACGCTGTACTGTTTGCCGCGTCCGAGCTCGGCGGTGGCCGCCCCCCGGCCGTGGGGCGGGCGGGAGGCGGTGGCAGAGCGGGGCCCGCGTCCCCGGCCCCACGCGCGGGGCCACACCGGGCTGTGCCGCCGCCGCCGCCATTCCGCGTGGGGCGGGCGGCACGCGCGGCTGCGGCGCGGTGCTGCCGGGGGGGGTCGGGACGCGGGTGAGGGATCGAGCGGGCACCGGGGTACAAGGGCCGCGTTGGCTCATCCCGGCCGCACTCTGCCCCCGCCAGAGCAAACACAGGGGCCTCCTGTTTGCGCTGAAGCTTCCCCCGGGGAGCCTCCCTCGGTGGGCTGCGGCTGGGGCACCACGGACCCCGGCACGCGTTCGCAGCTCTGCTGCTCTACCACGAGAGCCATCATCATCCTCTGGCCTTTAAGGAAAGGTTGTAACCTCAGCTGGGTCTAAACTTAGCCGCCAGCACCTCGGCAGCACCGGGAATAGCAGTGGTATAAGGAGAGTTGGGTTACGTTTGAGCTGTGTGACCCCTCTCTGCCCCCCACCCCAGCACCTGCGTGGTTCTCCCAGCCCGCTCCCCCCTCTTCATCATCAAAGACTTGCTCAACCGAGCAGCCACAGGGACGTTCCTCCTTCCCCCCCGCCCTCCGCCAGTCCAGATTTCCATCCATTACAATCACCGGAATCCATTAGAATCACAGACTCTGAGTTGGAAGAGACCACACTGTTCCCACACCTTCCTCCTGGATGGGGGGGATTTGGGCGTGCTGTGGGCGTTGTACCTAACGCGGGTTTGTCCTGCCGCACGTGCCTCGCACCGAGCCGGGGGATGCAGCCCGGCAGGACTCCGAAAGGGAGCCCGGAATGGGGGGCGGGGAGCTGGGCAGCGGCCATGCCAGGAGCCCTTCCTCTTCGCAGGCAGCCGAGGAAGGCGGGCCGAGGCGGCAGACGAGCAGGATTTCCGCCGTCACGTCCCGCGGGCAGCGGCACCAGTGCCGCAGTGCTTCATTAAGATGGTGCTCACGCCGCAACCCGGCCGGGGCCCCTCCAGGACACGCCTGGATAAACTCACCCGGGGAGGGTAC